ATATCTGAGATCTGTTCCTGTAGAGGGCAGAAGGATGGCTTATATATTTTTTTATCCATTCTACCACTCTCTGCCTTTTGCATGGGTGTGTTGAGACCATTTACAGTTACTGTTATTACTGAAAAGCAATTGTCTTATTCATTTTGCTGTTTGTTTTTTGAGTGTTTCCTTATCTTCTTTATTTTATTATTCTGATTTTTCTGTTTTTGTTTGTATTTGGCTGCTTTCTTGTGATAAGCGTTATTGCTAACTTCCTTCTTCTTCTGATTGTTTCTTCTTGTTGAATTCTTACTGGTTACCACATGTTATATTAAAACCAAAGCAAACTTACTGCCCTCAAGTCGATTTTGACTCATAGCAACCCCTCCTTGGGTTTCCGAGGCAGGATCACTATGGAAGTAGATTGCCCAACCTCCTTCCTAGGAGTGGCTGGTAGGTTTGAACCCCCAGTCTTCTGGTTAGTAGTCAAATGCCTTAGGCACTAGGCCACCAGAACTCCCATTATGTTTTATTATACAACTTAAAATTGCAGGAACATTTAACATATAAGCAACAGTTAACATACAATCTTAATGTAATAAATCTATTCTGGATATGCTCCCCTCCTCCATTTCTGTTCATTGATCCATTAACATCAATATACAACCTATGTTCACTGTATAATTGTTTCTTACAAAATTGATGTTTCATTGTTCACAGGATTTGATTGTTGAGTTTATTCCCTGAATATATCATATACATGGTCTAGCAGTGGGTTTTCTGTTTGTGTATGTTGTTGCGTTTTTTTGACATATCTCACTCTTATGTTTTGTTTATTTTCCTTCCCTGTGTATGTTGTTGTTGTTGTTATGTGCCGTGGAGTCAAACCCGACTCATAGCGACCCCTCCTTGGGTTTCCGAGGCAGTATCACTACAGAAGTAGGATTGCCCAACCTTCCTTCCGAGGAGTGGCTGGTGGGTTTGAACCACCAGCCGTCTGGTTAGCAGGCAAGTGTCTTAGCCACTATGCTACCAGAGCTCCCCCTATATCCTTATATCCCTGTGTATAGATACGGGTATTTATATAATGCTTTTGCCTTTCCATTTGGAGTTCTCCTGTGAGGAGTCTCGTGGTGACAAATTCCAAGAGCTTCTGGCTTTTTTGGGGGAATGTCTTGCTATCTTCCTCATTTTTGAATGACATCTTGGCTAGGTAAAGAATTATTGGTTGGCTATTGTTTTGTTTCAGTATTTTATATATGCCATTCCTTTGGGTTCTGGACCCTAGAGTTTCTGTAGAGAATTGTACACTCATTCTTACGAAAACCCCTTGGTATGCTATACTACATTTTTCTCTTCTGGTTTTAGAATTCCCACCTTGCTTTTGATTTTCAAGAATTTTATTGGTGTATGGCACAGAGTTGATCTTTTTGTCTCTCTTTTAATTGAATTTTGTGTAACTTCCTGTATTTGCAGGCTTGGTTCTCTGTTCGGATCTGGGGAATTCTTTCTTATCATCTCTTGGAAAAGTCATTTACATGCCTTTATTGTTTTCATGGTGCTCTAGGATTCCAATAATTAGATTTCTTAATTGAATTTCAGGGGCTCTGGTAGCATAGTGGCTAAAGCACTTGACTGCTAACCAGAAGGCTGGCGGTTCAAACCCACCAGCCACTCCTCGAAAGGAATGTTGGGCAGTCCTACTTCCGTAGTGATACTGCCTTGGAAACCCAAGGAGGGGTTGCTATGAGTCGGGGCTGACTCACGGCAAACAACAACAACAAATTGAATCTCATATTATCTTTGGGTTTGTTTGTTTTCTTTTTTCTTTCGTCATCTTTCTCTTGAAACTTAAGTTCAGTTATTTTGTCATCTAGGTCATTTATTCTACCTTTTGTCTATTTGACTCTATTATTGAATATTTCTCTTGTATTTTTAAAATCAGTTTTTCTATTCTTCAGTTGTAGTAGTTCTTTTTGGTTTGTTTTTGTGTAGTTTCCATGTTGATTCTTCATTTTGTTCCTCCATTTGTTTCCTGTTTCTGCTAGTTTGTTTTCTGTATGCATTTTGCCTTAAACATACACAGCACTATATTTGGAAAACTGTCAACACTTTGCATTATTCGCACCTCTATAGGAGAAATTTCCTCTTCTTCAAAATTTGCTTTTGACTGTACCTTTTCTTGTGAGTGTGTGTGTTTTATTACCTTTTGTTGAACTTGGGCCACTTTGTTATATTTTTTTACTTTAAGTTTCGTATTTTTGTTTTTGTGGGAAATTTTTCTGATTGCACATGCTAGTGGTTCAGAGGCCAAGCACCCAGCCACCAACTGAAAGGCCAGGGCCCACACCCACCTGCAACCTCATGGAACAAAGATGCAGCAGCCTGTTTCAACAAAACATCCCTGGGAACCCCACTCAGTAGCTCACCTCAGCCTCACATGGCACCTATGAGTCAGAATCAACCCAATGGCCCAATGGCAGTGGGCCTGGTACCTTCTCCTTATAACCACTAGAGGGGACTCTTATCCTTAGATTTATTTCAACGCTGATTCAAGGGATCTGGATGCTTGATCTCTGGAATTCAGTACATATAGGTGGGGATTGGGCAGTTTATCTGGTTGTGGGACTCAGCTTCCCTGTGGCAAAGGTGAGGAGCTTTTTCTATCTTTCCCCTGCAGGGACTTCTGTATAGGCTCTCCCATGCTGTCCTATTGTGGGCAAGGGGCAGCCTTTTCCCTGTGTTTTTCATGTATTCCTTGCAGTATTCCCGTTGCTCTGCTACTCTTGCAATTTATCCCAGCCCTAGTGCCTGTTGATCTCGAGCCTCAAGATTAAACAGCACTCTGGTAGAACCAGAGTCTCCCTTAAACCTCTCCCAGTGGCATGGCCCACAGACTCCCATAGCCATTCTGCACCTCCTTAAAAAAAGGAAAAAAAGGCAGGGGCTACATCTTCCTAAGATTAGCTTCTTTCCTCTATTCTATGTTTGGGGTGTTAGTCAACTGCATCCCAAAGTGGCTGTGGTGAGTTGAGCACTCAATGTCAGCAGACAGTAGGTTCTCCGAGCATCTGTCCTGTCCCTCTCCTCCTTTCCCCACTTCTGGATTCATTCCATATTTCCAACAACTCAGCTGCCAGCTGGAGTTCTGAAATCTCAGTCTATGGTACTTATTATTCATTGTTCAGTTGTTTAGTTGCTGGGGGAGTAATTCTACCCAATTCTACATCTTCCTCTACCCCCTCTATGTATTTGATTTTCTGAGAATGATGAATAATGGTTTCTGTAAAGTTCTGAAGAATAGAAAGTACAATCTTCCCTCAGTTTTTACATGGTAGATGATTTTAGCAAATCCATAGCATAATGAAAATACTTTAAAAATATTCTGTGTTTATATGTTTAAAAATAATTAAGATATAGATTGAAATAATTGTTATTAGAATTTTCACCTATACAGATGTACAGTGGGTCACTGGAAAGTTCTAGAGAATACAAGACAATTAAGTTGTGCCATATAGAGATAAATCATCACATAACATTTTGAAAGCTAAATTATTTTAAGGATACTTAGGCAAATTATGTGAATTACATAATTCTAGAAAGATGGCAGCATGAGCATGTCTGGGATCTTGATCCTTCCACGTAAGCACCCAGAAAATCAACTAAACCAAAAACCAAACTCATTGCCTTCGAATCAATTCTGACTCCTAGCAAGCCCCATTGGGTTTCTGAGGCAGTAAATCTTTACAGAAGATTGCCAGAGCTCCTTAGAAAAGCAACTGAACCCCCTGTGGTTGAATCAGGTCCAACTCATAGCGACCCCCTCCTGGGTTTCCAATGTAGTATCACTACGGAAGTAGATTGCCCAATCTTCCTTCTGAGGAGTAGCTGGTAGGTTTGAACTGCCAGCCTTCTGGTTAACAGTCAAATGCCTTAGGCACTATGCCATCAGAGCTCCCTAGAAATCTATAATCTCAATTCCATAAGTATGCTGAAAGGTATCAAGTTACTGCAGCAACTAACCACAAGCTGAAACAAGTGAAAGATGACTTTTTACTGGTAGGAAAAAATTTATTTTTTAATATCTCTGCCCCTCTTCCACCCAACTCAGTGGCCTTGAGGACGACTGTAGCAGACAGTTAGAAAGCTGATCTTTGGCTCTGGATCAATCAGTGGTCTCTTCTGATCTGTTTGGAAGCTGCATGAAGGACGCCTTGGTCTGACTTGGGTAGGAAGACACACAGGGCAGGGAGAGAATGACCAGCAAAGACTGAGTGCTGTGACTTCCTGAGAATACAGTTTGCATTTCTGGAAGTTCGCTGTCAATATACTGCTGCAACCATTTTAGAATTATGTGCAGGAAAATTTTACTTGCATGTGATATTAATGATATTATTTGATAATTTCCACATTCAGTTGGATCACCTTTCTTTGGAATGGGTACAGATAGGGATCTCTCCCAGTCAGTTGTCCAGGTAGCTGTCTTCAAAATTTCATGGCATAAGAAAGTGAGAGCACTGTGGCCATAATAAAGGGCAATGGTGAATAGCCTGAGAACTAGGAACAAAAGTGAAGTAAACTATAAAAAGGTGAAACAATTATTAGATCAATTAATAACAAAAAGTTGAGACCTAATAATGACATCAAATAATGAAGAATTATTCTCCATTGTTTAAAAGTCATTTTCCTTTAAATGAAGTAGAATAATCTCCTAATGTCTCAGATATAGCCACAATGATGAAAGCTTACCAGTTTGATTTTAGTAAGCATCTTTATAGAAATTAGGAAGATGATTCATAAACAAAATCTTTTCTGATCTAATATTTCACCAATACTCTCCTTTTCTTTCTTTTTCTTTTTTAGACATTATATTGTTTTAATAAAAATCAAACTGACACAAAGGAAACTGGCCAAACATTTGGTTACTAATATTTCTGTGCTGGCTGTGTTTTTCTCAAGTAGTATTCATAAGAAACTTTTTAAAAAACACAATTATATTTAACTGGATTTGTTGATTCTAGTTTTGCAGACAACTTTGAGAGAGGAGAAGAAACTTCGAGTTGAAAATGCTAAATTGAAGAAAGAAATTGAAGAACTGAAACAGGAGCTAATCCAGGCTGAAATTCTAAATGGAGGTGATTAAATGTAGAAATTATACCTTATTATGATTTATAATAATTATACCACTTTTTTAAAAGTTTATTAAGTTAGATGTTGTACCTGTTCTCTTGTTTTTCCTTCACAGTAATCCTACTCTGAGTTCCTTCTTGACAAGAGGGACTTAGAAAAGGCCAATGACATTATATGAGGTCACAAAAAAAAGTGACAGTGCTGGAGTTCAGAAACCTATGCATTTAATATCTGTGCTGTACTTGAGCTTGATTATCACTGCTCCTATTAGAACAGCCATCATAATATTTAGCTAACATTTATCAAAGAGTACTATATTCTAGATACTATACTTTTGCTTTATATGCATTATTTGCTTTATCCTCAGCAACATATGTATATTATAATCCATGCTTTATACATAAGGAAACTGAAACTTAAAGAGTATGTTGCCAAAATTCAAGTTTTAAGGTTTCCAGGTCAGCAGATAATTATCATTTTAGCTAATTTGTTGATAATAGTACTCTCACAGTTTCAAAGTATTAAATAGAAAGACATTTGATTGTAGTGTAGAAAATCTCTCCCGGTCAAATGTTTTAGTTATCTGGTGCTACTATAACAGGAATACCAAAAGAGGTTCACTTCAGCAAACATACTTATTCTTTCACAGTTTAAGAGGCTAGAAGTCCAAATTCAGGACACCAGGCCCTTCTCTTTCTTTCAGCTCTGGGGGAACATCCTTGTCTCCTTTAGTATCTATGGGCCTAGTGTCTCTTGGAACTCTCCATGTGTCTTGGTATCAGTCTTTCCCTGGGTCTAGGAGATTCTCAGCACAGGGACCCTGAGTGCAAAGGATGTATTTTGCTCCCAGCTCTTCTTTTTTGCTAGTAGTAGATCTCTCCTTCTCTGCTGGCTTCTCTATTTATCTCTGTAAGATAAAGGATGATGCAGGCCCACCCCATAGAAAATCCTTTTACATTGGATCAGGCCTCTGAACTGTGTAAGGATGCTGCATTTCACCCTAACCCTCTTACGATGATTGTTGTTGTTGTTGTTGTTGTTTGCCGTGGAGTCGGACCCGACTCATAGCGACCCCTCCTTGGGTTTCCGAGGCAGTATCACTACGGAAGTAGATTGCCCCATCTTCCTTCCGAGGAGTGGCTGGTGGATTTGAACCACCAGCCTTCTGGTTAGCAGTCAAGTGCCATAGCCACTATGCTACCAGAGCTCCCTTACAATGATTAAATGATCACATACGATCACATCATGGAGGATGATTATATCATAACATAATTGCCAAATCACATCGTTATGTAAGTGCCAAAACACTGAGAATCATGCCCCAGCCAAGTTGACACATATTTTGGGGGGATACAATTCAATCCATGACATAAGTTAAGGAGGTCAAAGTATAGTGAAAGCCTCTCTTACTACTTCCTTTACCCATAATTCTATTGTTGAATTATTTTGAATGTCGTAGCATGAACTCCATCTTTAGTTACCCAAGTAAAAATAAAATAAATATCAATATTAGAGCTGTTAACCAGAGAATATTATTTGTCATTGTAAATATTGGATGCTAATTGAGGCTTTCCAAGACTAGGAGATTTTGGAATACAGATATAAAATTAAATAGAGTTAAAATACTAACATTTTAGAACTCATTTTAACTTCTCCCAGTTGTACCTGTAAGCATTGAACTTTTAAATTTTAATTTTTATTTGTCAGATAACAAATAAATAGTTTGAATTAAAGTGATCTTGTCTATCTAAAGGTGAAACAAAATAGGCGTAGATAGAATGTCACATTATTATAAGAAGCAAATTAGAACTTTGGGAACACCTAATCACAAGGAAACTTAAAACATACATCAGAAAAGTGTTCCAAATATTGGCCAGAACCTAAGCAACATCAAAATCTTTTACGAGGGATACATTTTTCCATGTTCACTAGGCTATAAGAATTTTTAAATATCTTAAAACATTGTTGAAGGAATATCCTTTGCTTCTTTAAGAAGTTATTTTTTGAAATAGAATAATGGACAAGTAATTTTGTCTCCTCTTCATTCTAATACACAAAAACATGAAAAAAACTAAACCAATTAACTTTGAGTGGATTGTAACTCGTGGCAGGTCCTATATGTTTCAGAGTAGAACTGCATCATAGGATTTTCTTGGCTGTAATCTTTATGAACACAGATCACCAGGCATTTCTTCTGTGGCACAGCTAGGCGGGTTTGAACTGCCAGCCTTTAGATTAGAAGTCAAGTGCAAATCATTTGTGCAATCCAGGGATCTAATTCTAATGATGAAATGATTGATATAAAAACCCACCACCCATCTGTCAGTTTATTGTACTGTAGTGGCTTGCTTATTGCTATAATGCTGGAAGGAAGCTATGCCACCAGTATTTCAAATACCATTAGGGTCACTGATGGTGGATAGGTTCTAGTGGGCTTTCTAAACTAAGACAGACTAGAGAGAAAGGCCTGACGTGCTTCTGAAAATTAGCCAGTGGTTCTCTTGTGGATCACAACAGAACATTGAATAACTATGACCAGGGACACAATAGAAGGTCCCAGAAAGAATGGGAGGAAAATGTAGAACAAAACTCAAATTTATAAAAAAAAAAAAAAACAGACTTAATAGAATAATAGTGAGGAAGAACTCCTGAGACTGTTGCCCTAAGACAGTCTTATAACCTAGAACTGAAGCCACTCCTGAAAGTCATCTTATAGCTAAATAATAGCTTGGCCTGTCAAATAAATAATAACACCTATGAGGAATATGCTTCTTGAAACAATCAACTATGTAAGACCAAATGGTCAATATTTGCCCAAAAGCAAAGATGAGAAGGCAAGGAGGGGCAGGAAAACGAGAGGGAGGGAAATGAGTAAGGCAGCCAATGTCACGGAACAATTTGTGTAAATTTGTTGAATGGGAAACTAATGTGCTGCATAAACTTTATTCTAAAACACATCATATTCAAAAATATAAAAAATGCCTTTGCAGTAGATTATTAAATATAAAAGAAAACTTTGCCATCTTGTAAAACTATCAGTGTGTAATCTCTGGATAGAGGTTGCCCAGGTAAAAATACTTATCTCCCTGCTCACTGTTTGTTTGTTGGGCCAATTTCTTAATGTCATTATGGCTCAGAATTATCATCTATAAGATGCATAAATAGAAACTACCCCTTAGAGTATTTACGAGGATTGTTGTTGTTGTTGTTATTGTTTGCCGTCGAGTCGGCCCCGACTCATAGCGACCCCTCCTTGGGTTTCCGAGGCAGTATAACTACGGAAGTAGGGTTGCCCAACCTTCCTTTCGAGGAGTGGTTCACGAGGATTAGATAAGTTAATTCATTATAAAGCCTTATTGCTATCTACAATTTTCTCAGTTTAAATCGACCCAACAGCAACTAAGAGCAGTAAGGATTGGTGATTAAATGAGAATCCTGCATTCCTGTTACCTCAGTAATGGTTAAAACACGTTTAATATTTTGGCAGCCTTTTTACAGTCTCAGACAATAGAGACTTGATAGCCATAATCTATCAGTTTTTTAAAAAAGTGTTTGTATGTCTGATTTATTCTTCTGTATTTTTCATCTTGTTTGTTGATTTAATATAAATGGTATTTTTTTATTTTAGTAAAACAAATACCGTACCCATCTGGTACTCAAGTGGAAACTAATTCTACACATTGTGAAAATGTCATACAGTCTACACCAATAACAACCATATCTTCTGATGCCAAAGAACAGATAAATGGAGGAGGAGGAGAAGAAAAGAAGGTGAAAGAGAAAATTGAGAAGAAAGGTATTTTAACCTTTAAACGTATTTTAACTTTTAAATGTATTTGACTCTTGTCTGATTTTATCTGAAAATATCAACATTTTGGATAATAATTATGATATCACAAACAAAACTTACTTCTATGAGCACTTCATCCCCAAAATCTATTAAGAGTCCTCAACTTCTGAGCTAGTTCTACTCCTAAAGCTTTTGATTTGGAACTTCATGGCATGCATTTCATTATTTTATATGACAGTCTTTTGGCTAGGCTTCTCTACTAAACATTACTTAACCCACATACAAACTATGTAGTTAAACATTTACTTTGTGTGTCAGACCCTCTGTTGTTGTTGTTAGGTGCCGTTTAGTTGGCTGTTGTCTCCAATTACCCTGTGTACAACAGAATGAAATACTCCTTGGTCCTGCACCATTCTCAGAATCCTTGCTGTGCTTAAGTTCATCGTTGTAGCTACTGAGATTATTCACCTCATTGAGGGTCTTCCCCTTCTTTTCTGACCATCTACTTTATTTAGTATGATATCCTTCTCCAAGGAATGGTTCCTTCTGACAACATGACAAAAGTAAGTGAAACAACAAAGTCTGGCCATTCTCACTTCCAAGGAGCATTCCAGCTGCACTTTGAGGACAGATTTCATTCTTTTGTCAGTCCATGGTATTTTCAATATTCTTTGCCAACACCACATTTCCAAGGCATCAGTTCTTCTTTAGCCTTCTTTGTGCATTGTCCAGTTTTCATACACATATGAGATGATTGCAAATACAGTCTGTATGCTGAGAACATAATTAGAGAAGCTGGACTATATGAAGAACAACATGGCATCAGGATTGGAGGAAGAATTTTTAAGAACCTGTGATACACAGATGACACAACTTTGCTTGCTGAAAGTGAGGACAACTTGATGCACTTCCTGATGAAAATTGAAGACTACAGTCTGCAATATGAATTACACCTCAATATAAAGAAAACAAAAATACTCACAACTGAACCAGTAAGCAGCATCACGATAAATGGAGTAAAGATTAGAGTTGTCAAAGACTTCATATTACTTGGTTCACACAATCAACACCAATGGAAGCAGCAGTCAAGACATCAGATGACGTATTGCACTGGGCAAATCTGCTGCAAAAGGGCTCTTTCAAGTGCTGAAGAGCAAAGCTGTCTCCTTGAAGACTGAGGTGCACCTAACCCAAGCCATGGTATTCTCAGTTGCCTCATATTTATGTAAGAGGTCAACAATAAATAAGGAAGACCGAAAAAGAGTTGGTGCTTTTGAGTTATGGTGCTGGTGAAGAATCCTGAAAGTACCACAGACTGCTAAAAGAACTAACAAATCTGTCCTGGAAGAAGTACGGCTGGAATGCTCCTTGGAAGCAAGAATGGCCAGACTTTGTCTCACCTACTTTGGTTGTATTGTCAGAAAGGACCATTCTCTGGAGAAAGATATGCCTGATAAAATGGAGGGTCAACAAGAAGGGGAAGGCCCTCAACAAGGTGGATTGACACAGTGGCTGCAGCAATGGGGTCAGGTATACTGCAGATGGTGAGGATGGTACAGGACCAGGCAGTGTTTCATTCTGCTGTACATAGGTTCCCTATGAGTTGGAGATGACTCTGTGGCACCTAATAACAGCAACACAACAAACAAGTAAGCACCTCCAGCACTACATTCATTTGTTGAAACATCTCAAAAGATATTCCTTCAATACCATTGGTTCTTGATCATATGCTACCTTCTGAAGTCGTTGGACATTGACTAATTCTTTTTGATACAGTGACTCTGTGTATTCCTTCCATCTTCTTTTGATTCTTCCTGTGTCATTCAATATTTTGCCCATAGAATCTTTCAGTATTACAACTTGTGGTTTGATTTTTTTCTTCAGTTCTTTCAGCTTGAGAAATACTAAGTGTCTTCTTCCCCTTTGGTTTTCTAACTCCAAGTCTTTGCACATTTCATTATAATGCTTTACTCTGTCTTCTTCAGCTGCCCTTTGAAATCTTCTGTTTTCCTCTTTTATTTCAACATTTCTTCCTATCACTTTAGCTATTCTCCATTCAAGAGCAAGTTTCACAGTCTCTTCTGACATACTTTTTAGTCTTTTCTTCCTTCTCTGTCTTTTAAATGACTATTTGCTTTCTTCATGTGTGATTTTCTTGATGTCATCCAATAACTCATCTGGTCTTCAGTCGTTGGTATTCAGTGTTCTTCAGATGGTCTATAAATTCAGGTGGAGTATAATCTAGGTTGTATTTTGCTGTCGTAGATTGTAGTTTTCTTCAACTTCAATTGAACTTGCATATCAGCATTTGATGGTCTGTTCCACAGTCAGCTCCTGGCCTTATTTTGACTGATGATATTCAACTTCTCCATCATCTCTTTTCACAGATGTAGTTGATCTGATTTCTGTGTATTCCATCTGGGTAGGTCCACATGTATAGCCTCTGTTTATGTTCTTGAAATAAGGTATTTGTAATAAATAAATCTTTCTGTCAGATACTGTAATAAAGGCTTTTTCATTTGATCTTCATAGCAAGCCTGTGAGGTGATTGTTCTCATTTTATAAGTAAGGAACCTGAGCCTTAATGGGTTTTAGGAACTTGTCTGAGATAGAATCTTGTAGAGCTAGGATTCAATTCTAGGTCTGACTTACCCTGGAACCGATATAACTAAATACTGCAGGACCAGTTAATCACTATAGTATAGTTATACTTTTAAGAAGTAAGTTTTAACTTGGATTAGTAGGAGCAGATCTTCCATTGCACTGGTGTCAAGAACAACTCCTTCAAATTCCCTACTAGCTGGATTGTGGAAATTTTGTGAGTGGTTTATGGAACAGAATTTTCTTGAGTGGCTTATGGGAAAGAGTCTTCATCAAGGTAAATTTGAATAGTTATAGCGGAATATAAAAACCAAGGACAGTGGTGAAGACACACACACACACAAAAAAAAGCAAACTCAACTGCTGTTAAGTCAGATCCAACTCATAGCAACCCCTCCTTAGGTTTCTGAGGCAGTACCTCTGTTGTTGTCTTCGTTGTTGTTGTTGTTGTTAGGTGCCGTTGAGTCATCTCTGACTCATTGAGACCCTATGCGCAGAAGAACAAAATACTGCCTGATCCTGCACCGGCTCCCCAATCCCCGCTATACTTGAGCTCATTGCCACAGCCACTGTGTCAGTCCATCTTGTTGAGGGCCTTCCCCTCTTTCATCGACCCTCCACCTTACCATGCATGACATCCTTCTCCAGGGAATGGTCCCTTCTGACAATATGACCAAAGTAGGTGAGAAGTCTGGCCATTCTCGCTTCCAAGGAGCAGTCCAGCTGCACTTCTCCAGGATAGATTTATTAGTTCTTTTAGCAGTCCATGGTACCTTCAACATTCTTCACCAGCACCATAGCTCCAAAGTATAAATTCTTCTTCGCACTTCTTTATTCATTGTCCAGCTCTCATGTGCGTATGAGGCGTTTGAAAATACCATGGCTTGTGTCAGTCGCACCTTAGTCCTCAAGGAGACATCTTTGCTCCTCAGCACTAGAAAGAGGTCCTTTACAGCTGACTTGCCCAGTGCTATACATCATCTGATGTCTGCTGACTGCTGCTTCCATGGGCACTTATTATAGAACCAAGCAATGTGAAGTCTTTGGCAACTTTAATCTTTTCTCCATTTATCATGATGCTGCTTATAGGTCCAGTATCTTTATGGAAGTAGATTACCCAGTTTTCCTTCTGAGGAGTGGCTGGTGGGTTTAAACTGCCAGCTTTCTGGTTAGTCGTCAAATGCCTTAGCCACTGCAGCACCAGAGCCTCCTGGTGAAGACACTAAGAATTGTTCAAAAGCAAAGATGTCACTTTGCTTAAAAGCCTGACCCAAACCATGGTATTGTTTTCAGTTGCCTCATATGCATGTGAAACCTGGACAGTGAGTAAGGAAGACTGAAGATACATTTGAATTATGATGGTGAAGAATATTGACTATGCCATGCATTGTTAGAAGAAGTAAGAAATCTATCTTGAAAGAAGTATAGCTGGAATGCTCTTTAGAAGCAAGGATGGTAGACTTTGTCTTGCATACTTTTGGTCATGTTTTCAGGAGTGACTAATGCCTGGAACAGGACATCATGCTTGGTAGAATGGTCTATAAGCCAAGCAGAGAAAGACTCAATGAAATGTATTAGAACAGTAGCTGTGAAAATGGGCTCAAACACAGCAACGATTGTGAATGGCAAAAAATGGGGCAGTGTTTCATTCTTTTGTACATAGGGTTGCTGTGAGTCTGAACCAGCTCAGTGAAACCTAACAATAACAACAACTACAGTTTAGTTAATTTCTGTATTTGTATTCTAATATAGCATACCAAAAATAGCATTACAGCGATATTTAAACAATTGTGTAGTGATAAAAAGGGAATAATAGCAAATACATTTAAGGACCATAATCTTTGTTCTGTAGATACTTTTGAATCTTACACATTTGTGAACAGACTGTTAATGAGTTTCAGTGATAAATATAAAATCTTATTCTTAATGCATGCTGAGTTTGAACTTCCATTCATTAAATATTTTATTGTTCTCTATGTACTGGGTAAGGTCCCTGAATGATGCGGTTCTCGGCTACTAGCTGAATTATACTGGTTCGGATTCACCCATTGGCAGTGTGGAATAAAGGCTTGGCAGTCTGTTCCCATAAGATTATTGTTGTTAGGTGTCATCATTTTGATTTTCAATTCACAGCAACTCCATGTGACATAATAGAACTGCCCCATAGGATTTTTCTAGTTTCATTCTTTACAAAAGCAGATTTCCAGATCTTTCTCCCATGATGGGACTTTTGGGGTCCACACTGCCAGCTTTTCTATAAGCTGCTAAGCACTCAACCATTGCCCCAGCACGGCTCCTTTCCATAAGGTTGTGGCCTTATGTAAACACAATGAGTACAGTTCTACTCTGCAACACATAGAGTCACTGTGTGTCAGAATCAACTTGATGGCAACAACTTTTGCTTG